CTTTTTGCTTTTCGTGCATGTGCCAGCATCTCCCCCATCAGCTGTCAGTAGGTCTTTCTGCCCGCCTCTTCAAACACCATCCCCTGTCCAACCTAATCAAAGCCCCATGGCTTCTTTGTCTGCCTCAGAGGGATCTTGCACTCTTTGGCAGCTCTCCCATGCCCACTGATAAGGCCTTTTTTCTTTTCTGCCTTTGTTTCTCTACTGAACCAAAAAAGCCCCAACAATTAACATGCTCAGTTCTGGAAAAATAACAAGTCTCATCCAGTGCAGGTGAATGCAGTCAAGAACATTGTTTTCATTGCACAGCATTAGTGCTTAAGGAGTGTGAGCAAGGCAGAAGAATATGGTGCATGATATAGTGTCTCTCCCTCCTCTTGATATAGAAATAGAAATGAAAGGGCCAGGGATTTAGCTCAGTGGCATGAGTGCCTGCGTGGCAAGCATGAGGCTGTGAGTTCCATCTCCAGTACCAAAAAGAAATACAATAAAAAGTAAGACAGAAAAGAAATAGAAATTCAGTGAACGTGTATCTTAGTGTCCTTCCTCACTTACCAACATTTCTCCAAACAATCTCTGATGTCATATGTTCTTTCTTGTATGCATTTCGTATTCTGTTAACTAAGAGGTATGCGGAGGGAGGGTAGCACAAGGCTCCCACCCCTCACCCCAGCTGTGGGTGTAGCGGGCAGCTTGTGGATAGTTATCAGGGCAGGTCTTAATGGAGAGACGCATTCTTGGCAGGGCCGGCAGGGCTTGTTGGGACAGGGTGCAGAATGGGACTGCCCAGACTGCCCACAGGGAATCAGGCTTCAGGAAAGGAGTGAGATTTATACGGGTCACAGGTCTCCTTCTAACATGCTCACCTTCAGAAGCCAGGGTAGCTTCCCAAGGGGCAGTGGACTGCTCCCTTGGGAGGTAGGGTCCCCTGGCATTTTCATCTCCAGAGCACATACATGGGACAGTAAGAACCAGATACTGTCTTAGTGTACCCTTGGATGCTTCCTGGGGCAGTGATAGAGCACTTGGAGTCAGTTTGAAGGGAGGTGCTCCATCCATTTGCAAAAATGTTTGAGCTCCTTGAGTACATCCTCCCTAGTGCAGACTGAAGGAAATGTAGCTTTCCTTCCCTTGTGATCTGTCTGTTCATTCTTGACCACTCATGGAAACAGCTGATGTTTTCTCCCTGCCTAGATACTATGTTCTCTTCTCCAGAAATAATATGGTTGGATCATAAGCTTGCAGTCTTGTCATATTGGCTTTTTTCACTTAGTAATGCACCTGTTTTTTGGTAGTCATGGAGTTTTCAGTTCCTCCGTGCCTTCTTCTCTTGATCTGTCCTGCCCCAGCTCAGCATGTAACACTTCATTTGTAGTAGTCACGAAGTAATGAGTGAATGAGGTATAGAAATAAATGAAGTGCATCGTGTAACACATGGTCATTTCTTTCATTTTTATTCATAGAAAGAATGAACTCTAAGACACCAAGAAAGGTGATGTGAAACATTGTCTGACAATCAATGAAAACAGTGGTGTGGTTTCTTGGGTAAGTGCATTTTGAAGTTTCTAGAGGAAATAAAAAGTACATTTTCGATTTGAATCAGTTAGAATGCTCTTTATGTTCTTGGATTTCTTTAAAAAATTCATTTAAAATGGGGACCATTTTGCCATATTTCTGTCTATGTACTAGAGTTACTCATTTACAACCAAATGTAATGTTTGTTTTGTAATCTTATATGCAATAAGATTAGCCATTATGAGCATTTAACAGCATGGGGATTTGTTTGTTTGATTGTTTATTTGTTTGTTTTTTGGTGGTGGGGATCAAACTTCTGACCTCTTGCTTTCCAGGCAGGCACTTATGCCACTGAGCTAAATCCATGGCCCTGGGCTGGGATTTAGCTCAGCAGTATAAGTGCCTGCCTGGCAAGTGTGAGGTCATGAGTTTGATCCCCAGTAGCAAAAAAAAAAAAAAAAAAAAAAAAAATCAACACACTTGAAAATCACTTCTTTAATCATTTTTAATTTGATTTTACATTTGTTGTGTGGGTGGGGGGGGTAGGGAACCATTGGCTCAGTTGTGATCATGTGACATTCAGTGTCAGGTACTACTGGTATTGCAAGACAGCACCTTTATAAAGTTAAAATTTATTAGAAATGCTTGCTTGTCTTGCAAAACACTTGCACAACAAGTTACTCACAATCTAAGCATTTTTAAGTCAGATTGTTTACAAGCATCTTCAGTATCAGTTTTTTCTTTTCTTCTTCTTCCTCTTCTTATTCTTCTTACCTGTTCTCCTCCTCCTTCTCTTTCTTTGTTTCCCCCCCCCCCCGTGCTTCCCCTGCTTCTTCTTTATTCGGTTGCCAGTTTCTTAAATACACCCTATGTGTACCTTATTGTAGAGCTTTTTAAAAAATTGTTCACATACAGACTTGATAAAAATGTAGTTTATAGAAAACCGTCTGCAAACCTGAAATGAAAATAGTACACTTACTATACATATATTAAACTGATAAGCTGTTAGGAATCATTTTAATTTAATGCATCATTTGACAATGAAATACTACGTGATTTAATTTTCTTTCATCTGGTACTTATTTTAGAGGTGCAGATTGGCACACAGCAAAGGACTTTAACACCACGGTAAAAGTAATAAAGTTTAATTAACTGTGAATTAGCACATGAAGTATTGCATCGAAGAACGAGAAAGTACAGAAGTTACCAGATCGGAAGAGCTTGGATTTCTCTTCTAAATAACTATAAAACACTTGCTTACAATGCTGGCATATATGCAAATGTAAGCACATCTTCCAAGCCATCACTGCCAAATCCGAGTTCCGTTTCTAATTCTTGTTTCCCTGCTTTCACAAGGAGCCCTTTTAAGACCTCCAAAAGTCTCATTAAGATCGTTTCAAATGTGTCTCCTCCTACACTGTCCTTTGCTTATCACTGTTAAGCTGTAGAAAAACCCGGTCTCCATCCCAAGAATTTTTGAGTCTTCCAGCTTTGCCCTGGAGGAGCAGAGAAGGGCGCTCAGCTAGGGATGAATCATTCCAGGTAGTTCAAGCTATGAACGGGGCACAGCCTCCCGCCCCTCCCTGACATCTCCCTGAATGTTCTGTCCCACCCTGGGCAGTTGTGCTAGTTCTCATCCTGGAGAATCAGGTGGTGCTGCTGCCCCTGGTGGTGATGGAAGGTTAAGTGTATAAACAGTTCAAACAGCCATTTGTTGTTCTTCCTTTCCTGTGTACAGAAGATTGCACCCAGGGGCATCTACCACTGAACAATATCCCCCACTCCTTTTTCTTTTTATTTAAATTTCCCAGAGGAGCCTGAACTTGTGATCCTCGAGGCTCAGCTTCCTTAGTGCTGGGATTACAGGTGCACAGCACATCTCATATAAAGGGCTTATTTTGGCTCACTGTTGTGGAGGTTACAGTCCTTGACTGCTTGACCCCAGTGCTTTTAGGCCGATGTTGAAGCCGCACATGATGGGAGTGTGTGACATGAGAATCACAAGTTCAAGGCCAGCTTGGTGGGCTTCACGACTTTGTGGAACCCTGTCTCAAACTCGAAAATAAAAAAAGGCTGGGGATGTAGTTCAGTGGGAAACCCCTTAGTTCAATGCCCAGTACCTCAATCCATCAAATACACAATTATTTAAAAAGCCTTCAGGAGGAATATTTTAGTGACAGAAGGCTTCTGTCTTTTGACTGCCTCAGTGCCAATATCCTGGTTATGGTATTGTGCTGTAGTTGTTGAAAATGTTACCACTTAGGGAATGCCACATGCAAAAGGATCTGGCAGTTTCTATTTCTTACAACTCCATGTGAACCTACAATAACCTCAAAATAAAAGTGATGCCTGAAAGAATGCTCATTGTTCACCTTTTGGGGTCTAGAAGCTATCAGCTGGGCAAATCTGCAAACACTGACTTTTTGGCTGCCACCAGTTCCTTATACATCTGGCCTGCAAAATGACCTGTTGTCTGAAGTTTATGTCTTTAGCAGCACCCTGGCAACCAGCCATTCTTTCTTTCTTTTTTTTTCATTGATACCAGGGATCAAACTCAGGACCTATGTGCTTGTCAGGCAGGTGCCTACACTGCTGAGCTAAATCCCTGGCTCAAAGAGCTATTATTTCTAAGGCCAACACACCTTGCTTTTCCATTCTGCTAACACGGAACTGATCACCCAGTGTCACATATATCAGAGCCGCCCAAGTTGGCACAACAGATAGTTTCCCCTGTATTGTGTGAATCTGTGTGTTTGCCAGTTTGGCAGGTGAAAAGTGTTAAGGTATAGTTTACATTTCTCTTAGAGTAATGCAGGTTAAATGTCTTTTAATATCTTAAGTTTGTACTTTTTCTGTGAACTTTGCTTATGTGCTTTGCTTGTGTAATAATGGTATCAGACTAATTTTAGAATACATGCTGCTTAGAGAAGTTTTGAACACTTACAAAGCTTGTGCTCTTCTCTACAGACATACATACATACTGAATTAGAATAGTCCTTGTGATCTCTGAACTCTTGAGTTCTCTCCAAATTGAAGCGGAGGCAGCAGTTATCAGGAACAACGAGTTAAGAGAAATACGTACTAAATCAGACAGCCAGTATTTGGGTTCAGTAATATGTTTCTCAGATGCTCGCAAGATTTGGAAACCGCAGAGCAAATCGGCTGAAAGCAAGCAATGCCAATCAGCGAGAGAATACGATGAGGCCCCTGCTAAACCAAAGTGGCCATTCTTTCTGACCTTGCAGGCATCCACGAGGCTTTAAAAAGGCTGTGCATTTCAGGAAATCATAGAAGCTTGTTTTACTCATTTGGCTCCTGATTAAAATGTGAAATATACTGAAATTAGATACTTAGGTGTCTGGGACTAGCTAATTAGTCCCAGCCAACTGGTAAGGTCAACCAAATACAGTAGAGCCAGGCTCAGAACTCCTCTGGTGCAAAACGCAATAGGAAACACAAGACCCAGTTCCTAGGCTGGAGAGGGCAAGAAGGCTTTGTCCATGCGCGGCTCGCCCCGCCTCTGTGACATCACGGAAGCCCCACCCCCAACTGCAGGAGACTGCCCTTACCGAAGCAGCGTGCTGGCGTCCCGGAAGCTGCCCCTTCCCCGGGTCATGATGGGCAGCAAGATGGCGTCTGCCAGCCGGGTCGTCCAGGTAAAGGGTTTCCATTGCTTTTCCGCACGCTGGGCGGTAGGGATGGTGCAGCTATAGCAACAGCTTAGGGAGGAAAGGCGGTGGCACAGGACGCACAGTGACCGCGCCCGCGCTGGCGCATAGGCTTGTATGAAAACAGGTGGTTAAGCCCGTCGCGTTGGGCAGTAGAGCAGCGCCTCATGCTTCGCTTTGGGGACGAGGCTTGTGGCAGGTATCTAGCTGCCTGCTGTCCCCGAGGTCACGGCTTCTCCGCCACCCCCTCAGCCTTCAGAGTCTGCTAGCTAGGCCGCCCTCAGGAGCTGGGCCAATCGCAGCCGCTTATTCTCCGGGATTTTCATGCTCAGCCAATTGGGAGAAGGTGAGAGCGGGGAGTGGGGAGGAAGCGCGCTGGCTCTGACCTGGTGTCCCTTCAAGGTCTCCGGAGGGTTGGGCCCCTAGTAGGCCCTCTGGACATCATCCTAGCCCAGGGCCCATTGCACCCAACTCTTCATGCAGGCTGGAGCTGCGCGCGTGGGCTGGGGGGTGTATAGAAATAAGTGCATGTGGGGCTGGGGACTTAGCTCAGCGGCATAAGCGCCTGCCTTACAAGCAGGCAGTCGTGAGTTCCATCCCTGGTACCGATAAAAAGGAAAAAGACAAAAAATAAAAGAATATGTGCATGTAAGTAGTCGCTAGTGTATATTGCTAGTATGTGTATTAGTGTTGACTTCCCAAAACTTTTTTTTCCTTTCGCTTTTTCTTATTTGGTGCTGGACTTTGAACCAAGCAGCTAGTCAAAGCCTGTGCCTAGTCAAAGGCTGTACCATTGAGCTGCACTCCTCCCGTTTTGAAACAGGGTCTCGCTTCGTTGCCTGGACCGACCTAAAGCGCGTAATCCTGCCTCAGACCTCTGAGTAGCTGGTATTACAGGCTTGTACCACTATGGCCGTCTCCCCAAATCCTTTTTCCCAGTGTTTAGGCGGCTAGAGTAACGTTGTTAATCCACCTATGAGCTATTAATTCCTGGCCGCTTTTGTATTTAGGTCTCTAGCTGTGGTCCCTAGCTCAAATGGAAGAAGTAAAGTTAACATTTGAAATGAATACCATCTTTTTGGTCATACTGGGAATTGAACCTAGGACTTTTGCATTGAGCCACATCCACAACCCTTTTTTTCTTTCTTTTTGATACTAGGGATTGAACTCACCGCTTCACATTTGCCAAGCAGGCACTTTGGCTGCTGAGCTAAACCCCCGGCCCGCAATCCTTTTTAAAATTTAAAAAAAAATTTTTTTTTTTAATTTTTGAGATAGAGTCTTGCTAAATTGCCCCATTTTGGGCTCCAATTTAGGAATCTGCTGCCTCAGCTTCCTAGACTTAATGGAGTTACAAGTGTGCACCACCATACTCTGCTGGACACATCGCTTTTTAGTGGGTCTGTACTTCTGTTTAACCTTGAAAACATATTTGATAGTTTTTAGCATTCACATAAGAAATTTATTTCCCTCTGTATTACGTCATCTGCTCATACCCCCTCTTGTGATAGTTACAAGGGTTTGAACCCAGGGCTTTCCCACCAAGCTATATTTCTTACCTTTCTTTTCTTCTTCATTTTTATTTTGAGTCAGGGCCTCACTGAGTCGTTAAATTCTGGCTGGGCTCAAACTTGGGATCCTCCTGCCCTAGTCTACCAGAGTGCTGGGATTACAGTCATGCATTACCATGTCCAGCAGGATATTACATCTCTTATAAGACCTCTTCCAGAAGCTCCTGAAGTTGTTACCTAAATGATAACCTAGTCTTTGGTCCCATTGCAATAACTAAGCTTCACTTACTCATTTAATGGGTAGTTAACTGAGCATTAACTAATTAAAGATTCTGTAAAGACAGAACATTTGACAATGGTTTTGTATCCATGATATATAACCATATATAGCAGTAATACATACATAGCCCAGTTTAAAATGGATAAACAAGTGGGTACTGCACAAAGACACTCCAGTAAACAGAAATGTGTCAAGAGGTTTTGGAAGGTACTACAATGACCATCAAAATAACTAAAATTTATTTTTTATTGCTGGGATTGAACCTGTGTCCTTCTGCTGCTCTCTGAGCTACAGCCCCAAGTCTCGAGACTAGAATTGAAAAGACTGGCAATAGGGCTGGGGATTTAGCTCAGTGGCATAAGCGCTTGCCTTGTAAAGCAAGCAGTCATGAGTTCAATCCCCGGTACTGATAAAAAGGAAAAAGACAAAAAAAAAAAAAAAAAAAAAAAAAAAAGAAAGAAAAGAAAAAAACTGGCAATAGCAAAATGCTGGTGCAGGCCTGTAAGGAGACCAAGGCAGGCCAGACGTCTCAAAGAAAAGGTAAAATGCGGTACAAAATAGAAAGGACCTGAACCCTTTGTACACTGCTTGGGGAAAGAGTATAAAATGGTACAACGATTTTAGAAATGGTCTCTAACAGTTAAACATATACTTCTATTACCCTACAAGTGTATGTAAAGGCTTGTTACCCAAAAGGAATGATACACATACCTACAAAATATATATATATATATATTTTTTTAAATTTTATTTAAGGGGGAAAAAAAACAGAAAAAGGGTATAAGTTATACAGAATTTCAGAAAAAATAAACAGTAGGAAATCACTAGTTAATAGAGTACATATTGTCATCTTAGAAATAATTGTTCAAGTTACAAAATTCAAGCATATAATGTGGACATTCAGACAGTGAGACTGCAAACAGTTCTGTTCAATGATCCAACAAAACTCAGTAATATGGTAATCTATCTTATTCACTTAAATATACATGCAGTTAAATCATTTAGAGCACTTTCTTTTCCTCTTTTTTGTACAATGACAACTACATATTTTGGGTTTTATTACTCCCACAGTTCTTATTACTTTTTTTTAAAAGAGGATAAAACCAAATGTGACATAACAAAACAGAGTCAGTTAAATCAAAAGGATGAACATAATACATAATGTAAAAACAAAATACAAGGTGATCAACAATGGTTCCCATAATGACTCTTGCTATCTTAAAACGAATTGCCTATATCATCAGTTATAATAAAATTGAACAAAACAGTAAAGAACAAAATCAATAAAACCAAAACATTGGAGACATTATAGGACTTCAAAAGAAGATAATAGTTAAACCAGAATGGGCGTCATAATGAATCTTATTGTCTTCACAGTTGGTGCCTATACTCTCAAACTTGGTACTATCAAGCAAAACAGAATAGAGGAAAATCAGTCAAAACAAGATGGTGAGAGCAATACAGGGTTTCAAATCAAGTTAATAGGAAATTAAAGTGGGTTACTATAATATATCCTGCTATTTTTTTTATTTTTCCCTTAATTAAAAAGATAAGAATAAAAAAGTAAAAATAAAAAAAGGAGATTGAGATAAATGAGGACATAACAACGAAGCAGCACAGGTCAAAACATAACCATTTAAGCAAAATAGTGTTTCACCACAAGATAATCCTGACATAAAAGTAGTTACCATAGTGTCTCTTTCCTTGAAATCTTTGAGTATAACTTCGTATACTGTAGCATAAAACATATCAAGACAATGTAAAACCATTCAAGAGAATCACAGTATTACAGGGTATTTAGAATCAAATAAACAGAAAATGAACAATGGTTTCTGTATAATCTCCTTGTCTATAAAAGTTTTTGTTTATATCATCACATATAATAAAATCCAGTAATATACAACATGTTAAGACTGATGGAGACAGAAGAACAAAAGCTTGATGGAACTTCAAAACATCAGCACTAGCTATTATGATGTCTTGTTTTCTCTAAAATAGCTGTTCTTACCATCCAACCTTTTCTGCCTCATTTCTGTTGAGCTCTTTTTCTGTCATTAGTTGTCAGTTTGTCTTCTTCATTTCACTTTCTGCTCCATTCATTGTGGCCTCTCTGCCACTGTTTCTGGAATCTTGGTATTTTTCTTTTTTAGAATATCCCGCAGTATTCTCTGTAGAGTTGAATTGGTGGTTGCAAATTCCCCTAGTTCTTCTTTATCCTGGAAGCACCTTGTTTTTCCATCAATTTCTAGGAACAGTTGTGCAGGATATATCAATCTTGGCTGGAGATTATTATCTTTCAAAGCTTGAATTATTTCCCCCCATGCTCTTCATGATTTGATGATTTGTGCGGAGAAGTCTGCTGTAATTCTGATGGGTGTTCCCTTGTAAGTGATCTGTTTCTTGTCTCCGACAGCTTTTAATATTCTGTTCTTATATTGGATTTCTGGAATTTTGATTATTATATGTCTGGGTATAGTTCTGTTTGGATTGTAGGTGGCTGGGGTCCTGTATGCCTCATACATCTGAGTATCTTTACCTTTTGCTAAATTAGGGAAATTCTCCTGGATTATTTCTGTGAATAGCCTTTGTGGTTCATTTGTTTATGTCCCTACTTCTTCTTTTATGTTCTTAAATCTAAGTTATACATCCTCTTATCTTCTAGCCTTTGTATTATTGCTGTTTGTTTCCTTGTTATTTTTAAGAAGTCTTTCATTTCATGCTCCCACATTACAAATCTGCCCTCCAGTTCAGATAATCTATCCTTAGTTTCTTTCAAGCTGTTATGCCAGCTTTCAATAGAGTTTTTAGTTTCCTGGTAATCTCTTTGAACCTGCTTCACGTATGTTATGTTTTCTCTATTTTCTCCATCAAACAATTCTGCCCTTTTTTTTCTGTTCTTCCATTCCACCATCTGTTTTTTCTTGGGCGGTGCTCAGCATTTCTCTAACTATTCTACTTATATCTTGCTTTATTTCGTTAAATACTTCATTTTTAAACTCGTCTATGAGGCTCTGGAGATATCGCTTTATGTCTATTGGTGCCGTGTCTGATATTGCATGTTTCCTGTCCTCATTCTCCTTTGCATTTACCTTTCCTGGATCAGTGTTCTCAGAATTGGAGGCCCGAGGACCCTTTCTTGTTGCCTCCTCTTCTCATATTTTTTATTCCTTCCATACAGGAGTATATAGGAGGCCCAG